CTCTCTCTTTCTACAAATAGAAAACAATTATCATTCACTATTAATAATTATTAATAAATAATATAACAAAATCTAATTTTAGTTTTTGAATCATCTTTGATGAAAAAAGCAAAATACTCTTGTTGGATTTGAATTGATTGATATTATAAAAATACTATTAATATAATAGGGAATGATTAGTTCTTGTTATTTTTTCGTTTTTTGGTTTTTATTTTCGCGTTAAAAACCCTTGATTTAAATAGATTATTTCTTTCCCCGAAATATTACATAAAAATTTGCTTTTTAAAAACAATTAAAAATAAAAACTTGATTTTACTTTGAGGTAATAAAAATATTAATTAACATAATTATTAATATAATTTTATTGTATTGTATCTTTTTATATTAAATTATATTAGAAATAAACCATATATGTATAATATAAAATACCATATTCTTTTGTTTGTTAATTATTGTTAATAAACAATAATTAACATAGAGTTGGTGGAAAAAAGTCCTGTTCAATAAAAAAGTTTGGCTCATTTGCAAATTATAGTAAATTATAATATTTGTTGCTATAATATTGAAAACATTTTGTATTATTTCAAAAACATTAATTAAAACTCCTAAAAAACAAAAAAATAAAAAAAAATAAAAAAAATAAAAAAAATAAAAAAAATAAAAAAAAATAAAAAAAATAAAAAAAATAAAAAAAAATAAAAAAAAATAAAAAAAAATAAAAATACTTACAAAACCAAACAAGAAAAATTAAAACCAAACTTTTGGTCGAAAATTTTTTATTCAGGTCAAAAAATTGGCACTTCGAATAGAAAAATGAGATTTTATTCTCATGTTTATGTCGATACAATACAAAGTCAATAGCAACCACTCAACGTTTGTTTTTGGAATTAAAAATAAAGGTTTAGCAAACATATAAAACGCAATATTAAAAGTATAAAACATATCATTCAATTGTTTATATAGTCGGTGCAACACAATTTAACAATCAAAAACTAAAATTCAGCATTTCGAAACAATGGATTGATTGCAACTAATTTGAACTTTCAAACATCATTGAGTTGTTTAAAAAACATGGCGTTTATTTAAGATGCTTGCCAATAATTCAATCTATGCGTGAATTAATCAATCTTAACGTGAAGTCAACGTGTCTAACCAAATGAAAATAATTATGGTTGTAACTTACATTAGTATTATGTACAAATTCGGGATTCGTTCCCAAATTGAAGCGTCTCGATATTTAAATTGAATTCTTTGTTTGGCTCGATAGTTATACGAAATTAAATAGTAATAATAATAGAAACTAATAATAAATGGTTGTTTATAATAAAATATAGTTATTCTTATTGAGCCGGACTTTTTTCCACCAATACTAATAATTAATTTTACCTTATTATTAAAACTCATATTATATCATAAAATATAATAATATTTTATGATGATTATAATAAAACATTCAATAACAAAAAATCAACAATTAATTAAAAATCCTGTTTTTTGACAAACCAAGAATTAGTCAACGAACATCCTCGTTGTTTTGGGGTAGACGAGAGTTGAGTTTTTGGTCTTCCATAAGCCGATGGAATTGTCAATTTCAGACTCAACGATTTTTGTGGTGGTTCGAGTGTGTTGTTAATGACTGGGGAGTTATTACTTGGTGTTTCCGAGTGGACTGCACGCGTACATTCTGTGGCCAGAGTAGTTCTTGGGCGCAAATCTTTCGAGTGGTCACTTTTTCGTTGTGCCAAAAATGCGTTAGTCCCGTTGCTCTTTCTCAAAGAGACATGAATTGCTTTAAGACTTGGAAAATTGAAATGAGTGAAGACCGACCTCACAATTTGGTCGATAGAAATCAGTTGTTTCGTCCGTTTGTCTGTCATGCTTTGCTTGGTACTAAACGTTTCATTCTTAAATAAGAACTTATGGTAATTGATTATTAAATATTTTAATAAAAAGCCTTGAGCCGTGGGGGAGATCCCGTCACAGAAAAACGGGCCAAAGTGCATTAAGTATTGCAGCTTATTTGGATTGTATTGGTACCATTCATTAAACAAGAGCAATAACAGTTGTATAACATTTTGTGAAGGAGTCTTTTCAACACTTTTCAATAACTTTTTTGCGATCACTTCAATGTTTTCTGTGGGTCAAACTTTGAATAGGTATTTATATCTATAATCAAACTATAATTAAACTAATGAACAAACCATCAGAAAAAATGATGTTTTTCATATACGCCAAATCACCGACTAAATAGCCAAAGAGTGGTCTAGTGAGTGATGACAAGAACAAGAAGAGCATTCCCACTATTTCAGGTGATGTTTTTTGACTCAAATCGATTTCCTCCCCAAATTCTATTTGTATTAAATTTTCTTGTGCTTTTCGTAAGTTTTGGTTTGTAAAGAAATTTTCATTTTTGAAGTTGAAGTGGAGGTACAAAAAGTTACAAATTTTAAAGAAGAGTGGGGAGACGCCAAAAGCGTTTACTGGGAGTTTATCAAGATCAATTCCACAAAGTCCCCATGGGGTATGATATTCTGTGACTATTCGTTGTAAAATAGGTAAATCGCCTTTAGCCCTCAATGGGTTTTCTTTAGTGTATTCTGTTGACTCTAAAACTATTAACAACGCCTTTTCTGTGGAATCAAAAATGACTTGAATATTTTCTTTAGGAGCCACAATAGTTCTACTTTTCCTTCGAAAGATCACAAAAGGTTCCACATGAACAAAAGTGAGGGGTTCTCCTTCACACGTCAACTCATATCGATCAAAATATGACGAACACAACAGACTGTCATCTACACATGTGCTAAATTTAGAAAACGGTAACAAGAGGACCACCTCTTTTTCATTCAGTTTGTCTAAAGTCTCGCACTTCTGATCTAACACCCGCAAAATGCGCTCTTCGTTTCTCACAAAACACATTACTCGGTCTTCAATGCCAAGTGCTTTTTTCAACACTTCTATGATATCACTCATGTGTTTCGAAGGATCCAAAAAGAGGTCATACAACGCGTCGTTGAATTGAAAACACACAATCGTAGTCGGTCTCCACATGATGACTAATTCATCATGCAACTCACTGATCTTCTTATCTTTCTTCAAAACAGAGACTACTCCTCTTTTGATTGACCCAAAGACTTCATTCGATATATTGTCTTCTGTCGTGTGCATCGCCTCCATATAAAAATCGTGAAGTGTCATTTCTTGATTCATCACGTATTTCACTGTAGTTCCTTCTTTTACAATTTCTAATACAGTTTTGTCTTTAGAGTCGTCATCTGCATTCGCCACAAAGAACTTTTCTCTTCCTTTCGGCTGTTCCAGTGTTTTAGAAATTTCAAAACGTTGTTGTTCGGGTATCGTCTCTTGTTTTAAACATCTTCGAATGAATACCTCAACCTTTTCAATCTTTTGGAACTGATAATTCCGCTGCTTCAAAACCATCACCTTCTCGGCAACTTCACTCATCTTTTGACACTTCACAAAATTGATCTTTTGGTCCTCAAACTGTGTCACAAAGCCTCCTTCTGTAAAGAGTAAATCACTTAGAAAGAGTCCAATATATGGAGTACATGGGGAATGGGAAGCCCTATCGAGGGTTACTCTATAAAACTCCCAGTTGTTTTCTGGTGATGCAAATTGTTGGAGTGACGTGAAAATAATTTTCGTCTTTTGGTCGACCATTTCAAACGATTTTGAAAGTCTTGAAATGGCCGAACTTGAAAGTAATGTCAAGATACATATCAGTCCGTCAAAGTTCTGTAGTTGCAAAAATTCGTTAGCGATTAAAATGATGTGTTTGATGTGTTTTGCTCTTGTTTGGACACTTCTCGTCTTCAGAATGAGTGTCGCAAAGTAGTTTTGAAGTTCATTGAAAAACGTGACGCAAAGCGCCAAGTTACTGCATTGACTCTTTGAGTTCTTCTGATTCCACAAAAACAGTTCAAACACGTTGACTGATTTAAATACTTCGGACTGGAGCAGCGTGACTTGTTTAGCAAATATGACAGGCGGTAGAGTTAAAAAGTCGATTGGGCAGTCTGAGATCAAATATTCCAAAGGCATCAAATCGATCTCAAAACTGACGCTTTGTGAAAACGTGACGATTTCTTTTTCTTTATATTTTAATTGTAATGCTTGTTTCTTAAGTCCGTAGTTCTTAAGTAACTCCAAAAAGCTCTGGTACACTTGCATGACATTTTCAAAGTCCGTTTGAGTTAACAGTGGAAATATCGTCGAGCTAAAAAAGGACATAATCGACACAATTCGCGCTCTTACCACTCTACTCAGTGGACTTATTAGACTCATTGAGAGTTCAAATCTATTAATAAATTCTAATAAAAGTTCTCGTGTGCCTATATACAGTCGATGCCCCCATAAAAAGTCCTTAGAAATTTCTTGTGAGAGACACGAGTAATTGATCAACTCCGAGACAGTGCATGTGTCGATTTTATTTGGCGGACTTGGAAATTTTGTTTTAAAAAAGTCCGCAGAGACCTGACAAGGGGAATGACAAGGAAAAAACACGTGTTGATTTGGGTGAGAAAGAGTGAGAAGCGTTCGATATATTTCGGTTTGAAAAGTCGACTTAAAGTCTGAGGACCGGTCACATTTCATATACACATGTAAGTTGAATTCTTTCTTACACGTCATCCTGTGTTTTTCTTTTTGAAGTTCACCTTGAAGGTTTGGTGTTCTTATCCTTTTAGTTCTTTTATAAATTCCTATTAGTTTCGCTCTTTCTTATTTTAAACACCAAGTTGTATTATTCTATTTATTTCTTCATTAAACGTTTCATTTGAATTTCGTTTTCGATGTTTTTTGGTTAAATACTTTCTCGACTTCCAATCCCCATGTCATTCCTTTAAAACATTTTAGTATATAATTATATAATATTTAATTCAAAAATACAATGGTTGGAATAATATAATAATGCCTTACATCAATACTAGTTTTGGATGTATGAAGAAGACCTTTTTCAATTAAAAAATTTCTTAATCTAACAAATATTAACAGTATCATATCATTATAAAAATTTAATTATAACAAATAATACAGTAAACCTTATAAATATAAAAAAACATTGAAAGGTAGTAATACTTCCTTATTAATACTAATTGTTATATTTCTTTTTATTTCATAATGATTCAATTCCTCAACTTGTCTTTAATAAAAAATATCAATAACTTTAGTAATTTTCTGACAATTAAAAAAAATAGATAAAAGAACTAAACAATACTATAATGTGACGTTACATCAATCAATTTTCAAACAACAAATTTGCTGCAATTTCGCAGTTTTTCCCACTCTTTAAATACACTCGGAGACATTCCTCTCTGTTACACTTAAGTAACATCAACTTTTCTATCTCGACGTTGTCTTGTTCCGTTAGTACCACTTCTTTCGAGTCGACATCGTCGATATTTCGGTGACTCAAAAAGTGGTCCGCCGCCATTTCCAAGTTGTTGTCAAAACAAAACAAGAGTTGGACAGCCTCCCCGCGCATCATCCCCAGATCAATCAATGTTTTAATATCATTTTCATTCATCTGACTTTCGTCAATCCCATTTGTGTCTGTCGTTGTCGTCGGATTAAGTGTTCCAATATCCACCGGAAGGATTTTCAACTCCTCACAGATTTCCTTCTCTGTTTTTTGTATTTGCCAGTCGTTTTTTTCCAGCAAGAAGAGGGCCTTTTGTTCGTTGATAACGGGATATGAGTGTACTATATACTTTATGAATTTCGAAAACGTGTTGATCACATCAAATTGACGAGCGTTGTCATAAATCTCCAAATGTTCGTTTTGTATTGTGATGGTTGTGCCACTGCACACAAGAACAAACGTGCGACAGAACTGATATTGTGTTTCTTTGATTGTCATCACTCCCATGATATTAACAATCTATCCGTGAATGTGTTCTGTGCTGTTACAAGCATTCTATTGTATAATAGATATTATTAATATTATTATAATAATATTATAATAGTATAAGTATAATATAATTATAGTAAGTAATATTATTATAACAAACATAATTGTTCCCAAATTGTAAAATATCAAAACACATCTCTGATATCCGATGTTTCGTGCTCTCAAAGCCTCTGAAAAAGTTTAAAATCTGTGGTCTCCCCTTCGCTATGAATTTCAATAAGTCATTTGGCGAATTCACCGTTTCATGGTTCCGCGAGTTGATTCCAAATATCCGGATGTTCTTTTGAAGCACTACATCAAACAGTGAATTCTCCGCATACAAATTTGCAAGCATCCCGATGTTCTTATCAAAATAATCAAAATATTGGATAAAAAACTCATGCAATTTCCAAAACAATTCAAAGTTGAATGGTTGAATAGTGTTATACTGTGACGGGGCAATTCCATGTTGCACGTTACCTATTGTTGTTTGTCCAAACTGACAATTTGAAATGTTTTTATTGTCCAAGAACATTAGATATGGGAAAAATTGTTTTAAATCGCTGTTTGTTATTTCACATTCTATTGATATTAATACATTATAGTTCAAATGCCATTCCTATTTATAATAGTAATATTTATTATAATTATTAGTACGTTGTCAATGAACCAGAACAGACTTCATCCACAGGTAATATATAACAAACAATAACGCGACGTCTTGAATTGGGTTGTTGTTCAAACAAATTTTGATCAGGGGAAGTCCGCTGATAGCTTCAAAATATTTTGCGGACTCCAATCTGTTGTACGACAAGTCCAACATTGTCAAACACTTTAAACCACTCTTCATTGGAGCTAAAAATCCGCCATTTCGAATTCCGTTATGACTCAAATTCAAAGCGAGTAAATCAGGCAATTCAGCGGCGACAAATGAAATCGTTTTTTCTAAGACGACATCAAACGGCTCTGTCAAGGTGAACCGGAACTCCGCAAATTTGGACTCCAAATTTGAAAGGTCGAGTTCGCGTTGTCTTAAATTTGAGTACCGAAATTTGATGCGTTCAAGTACAAAGCGGAGTTGGTCATCGCGAGATGGTTCTCTTTCAAAAGAAACACGAGTCCTTTGGTTGTTGAACAGAAGCCCATTGAAATTTAAAAGCATTCTGCCTTGTTCAAGTGTTTGAACAGTGACATCAAATGACTGCGTGTTTGTTTGTTGAATAAAAATAATCCCTATGTCCGGGTTGAGTTCATTAATCAACTTCCGAAGATCATCTATTGTCCCATTAAACGTCCGCACAAGCATTTTTGTTGACATGGTTGTGTGTGAATTGATAGTATTGCAGTTCCGTATAGTTGTTTTTTATTATAATTATAATATATTGTATAATTTTTGTTGTAATATATGACAGACTTTGAACAATAAATCTCTAATTGATTGTTATTGAGGAATTTGGTAAATGATTTTTTTTAAGAAGTTTATTATATTTAATTTAAATCAAATTGTTTTTAAATTTTAAATTAAAATGTTACTATTGTTAAAAAAATAGTATAATTTATAGTATTTATTAATAAATTTTAATTTTATGTATTTTTGGGTTGTGAATTAAAAATAAATAAAATAAAGTAGTTTATACTAATAATATATGCTATGTATTAATTTTGAATTGAATAATTTTAGTATTGATTCAATATAACATAAAATTTATATTAATTGTTATAAAACAAATACACGGGGTAGACCTTTCCCACCCTCACCCCGTCTAAATATAGAATTAATTTACTATATTTTATAATTTTTTAATTATAATTATAGTAAATGGGCGTTTTGGATAATATTAGGTCTGGTTCCCGAATTCAAGAAATGCCGAAAATTCACCTCGAGTCAGTGGAAACCGAGTAAGACGGAGCATTGAAAAGAAGGCTCTGAAGACACACTCAAACAGTCTGTTTGTGTACCGTTTCACCCACTTTCCAAGTCCTCCCTTGGCGCGGATCCCCCCTGACCCCCCCGCAAGCGGGGGGGAACCACATCCGCGTCCACACAGTACGGACAAGGAAAGTGGGCGACATGGGGACGCACAAACAGTGGCTGAAAAGTGGATTCTTTCAAAAAACACTCGCGGCAAATATTTTATTTTGGTAAACGGGGTGAGGGTGGGAAAGGTCTGCCCCCAAATACACATTCAATTTTTATTATTTCATAATTAAAAATTCATTGTTGGTTAATCAAAAAAAGTCTTAAATTTATAGTTATAAAAGAACGTTAATAAAGATGGTTGTCGTTTTTTATTTGATAACATAGAGTCTGTCTTTTAAAGTTATCTGGTACCTTTTTTACCAAAAAATTGGAATATTTTGGGAAACCGTTCTATAAATCCATCCCAATTGTTCACAGTTTTTTTTACATTTTTCATGCCCGTTGTTTAGAGATAATCAAAGCTATTTTTTGTCTACCAGATAACATTAAAAGACCGACTTTATAATGAAAAGTAAAAATTAAAATTTAAAAAGCCAAAAGGCCAAAAAAAAATAAAAATAATCGAAATGTTGATAATATAAATTCAAATTTATGTATTTTATTATAATTTTTTAATCTTATTTTGTAAAAGCAATCAAACATCCACTTTTTTGAAGTTTCAAAGATCAAAAAAGTGTTAAAGATTTTTCTTATTAAATACAATTAAAATGCAATTCAAAGTTGGGTTGATATTTAAAGAGTTTTTTGTTTTAAAAAACAGAGTCAATGGCTTCTTTATATACAAAAGCTGCAAATTCCGCTTTCCGTAATGTTTATGACCTCACTTATGAAGGTGATTACAAAGACTCTTTTGAAGGTTTCTATGCTGACATGAAAGGTGAACTGAACAAAGAGACGATTCCCGAGTTGATGTCTCATTATCCAACAGTAGAGCAAATAAACAAAGACTGCCCAGACACAGTGAATCCAAGTTATTTCAAACAGAATCATTTGGACGATTGTGAAGGTGTATTTGAAGTCATTCCAAAGAAGATATATCAAGTGAGACCACGGTCTATTGATTATGCCAATTTCACGGTTGTAAGAGGAAAGACTGGTTGGGTTATAGTCGATTGTATGTCATCAGTCTATTCTTGCAAAACATGTTTTGATCTCATTCAAAATACAGTAGAAAAATTGAAAGTTTCAGCAATCATAGTCACACATTCCCATGGTGACCATTATATGGGATATGACGCAGTTGGATATGATACCGTTCCACTCTATTTACCAGACAATTTCAAGCAGATGTGTTTTGATGAAAATGTATGCACTGTTGAGGTAATGGGAAGACGAAGTGAATATCAATGCGGTGTCTACAATAAGTCTCCAAATATGGTTGGAAGTTGTTTGGCGCCTTCAAGACTTCCAAAAGTTGATGGTAAAAGTGGGTCATATCCACACTCACAAAACACGACTTATATCAAAGAGAATTGCACTTTAGAAGTCGATGGCCTTCAAGTCGATTTTATTCCAACTCCAGACACAGAAGCACCAGCAAATATGATGTGTTACTTTAAAGATTATGAAACATTAAGTGCAGCAGATAACATGTTACACTTTTTACACAATTTGGTCACACTTCGTGGTGCCAAAGTACGCAGTGGAAAGTTGTGGAGTAAATGTATTGATGATGCCATTGTCAAGTATGGAAAGACTGTTCAACATCACTTTGGTGGACATGACTGGCATTTGAATGGAAACGAAAAGATCAATCATTATTGGGTTGTCCAGAGAGACATGTTCAAATATCAACATGACCAAGCACTAAGATATGCCAACAAAGGGTACACTCCAAACGAAATAGCAGACGTTGTGCAATTTCCAAAGAGTTTAGCCACAGAACATTGCTGCAGAGGGTTTTATGGTAATTTGAAAAATAATGTGAAGTCGCAATACATGATGTATCTTGGGTGGTATGATAACAATGTTGCACATTTAAATGAACTTCCGCCAAAAGAAATATCATTGAAATATGTAGAAGCTTGTGGTGGTATAGAGAAGGCGCTTGCAGTGGGTCAAAAGGCTTATGATTGTGGAGAATATAGATGGGCTTCTACTATATTAAACTATGTTGTCTTTGCCGACAAAACAAATCAAAAAGCAAGAAACTTATTGGCAGATGTCTACGACCAATTGGCGTACCAATGTGAAAGTGCTTTGTGGGTCAATTCTTATAACACTGCAGCTATTGAGTTAAGAAATTTAGATTGGAAACAACCAAGACCAAAGGGTGTACCATTCAATGAATACCCTATTTCGGCATTTTGTGATTTAATGTGTGTTTCTGTCGATCCAAAGGTACTTGGTAACATGTTTGAGACTGTCAAAGTTGTATACAAAGATACAAAAGAAGAAAGAAATTTAGTGGTCAGCAATGGCACCTTACATGTTAGAGAGTGTAATATAGATGACACTTTCACCGCTTCTATTGAAGGAAATAGAAAGGACGTTTGCGAACTTTTGCAAAAGAATTTGACTTTTGATGATGCAATGAAAGATACAAATTTCAAATTTACTGGAGTGGAAATTGTGAAAAAGCTCCTTGAAGCATTAGACTTTTCTGTGAAATACTATAACTTCGTTGAGCCACAGTAAGTCATTTTTTCTTTGGTTTTTTGTTTAATTTTAAATTTTAATAAATGTTTTATATGTTGTAATTAACATCATTAAATTATAATTAATATCATTGTTGATACCATCAACTTTTAAATGGTGATGATAAATAAGAAAATATAAAAAGTAGACTCAATTAACTTCAACACAAATAAATTGTAAACAAACTATTTTAATAGTAAAATATAGTTTTATTTATATTTTAAAATAACAACCACGTCATTGAAGTGTTGCATAAATAGAACAAATAAACCATTAGTTTAATAGTAAAATAATTATTACAAAACAATCCACGTCATTGAAGTTTTTGAATGAGGTTTAAATAACACAAAAAATAGAATAAAAGGGCAACAAAACTTTGAAAGTCAGACAATGCAAATCTTTGTGAAGACCCTCACTGGAAAGACCATCACATTGGAAGTCGAGCCAAACGACTCAATTGACGCCATTAAGGCAAAAATCCAAGAGAAGGAAGGTATTCCCCCAGATCAACAAAGACTCATCTTCGCTGGCAAGCAACTTGAAGAGGGAAAGACGTTGTCTGACTATAACATTCAGAAGGAGTCCACTCTCCACCTTGTCTTGAGATTAAGAGGTGGCTTCTAAATTCATTCGTCTCTTAGATTCGTATGGATTTGTAATTCATTACTTCGTTAACTTTGTTTAGTTATAACACGCGTTTAATGTATTGATGTCATCAGAAAGCAATAAAGCTAACATCAAAGTTAATTATCAATAATAAGTTTTTTCATTGTGTGTGAAATTAACTCAACACACAAATGATTAAATGCAGAGAGAGAAATGCCGAATTTTTAATTACAAAATTGTATGTATAAAATGTATCGAGTGAAATGAATATTTATAAAAAATAGAACAGTAAAACCTCTCAATAGTGAGTCCCCCATTAAGAGAATTCTCTCATTAAAGGTTCTTTCTACATCACTTCTGCGACTGGAAATATTGAATTTAGTGATGGAGTTGTTTCAATTGCATATTACAGTGGTTCATTGTTGACAATTGAAGGCACACAAACAATAATCTCGATTGATAAAACTTCCCTTGACGATCAAACAGCAGTTGCGATCAAAGCTTCTTTAAGTTCCTTGACTCTTCTTTCCACAACAAAGACAACCGATATAACCCTTGACCAAACAGTTTTTGTGATGGGCCAAATTGATTACACTGGTACAATAAATGTTGTAGGCAAAAAAAGTCGACACTCGACCTCACTCACATGACATCATTGAAAGATTCCTCTTCAATAACTTCCTCTGTGGATGGCACGACCATCAAAACTATTTATGAAGCTGCTCCACTTAGTACACTCAAATTGTCAGATAAATGGGTCACTTCATGTGATAAAATGACTCTAACTTATAATACTCAAAAGGAGAATTGTGGTGAATGTGAAGTTGGTGATGAATACAACAATATCTATTTTGATTGTATGGCTTACAAGACAAGTGGTATAAATACACTCACAATTGATGACAATAATTCTGGATTATTTACTAATAAAAAACTAATAGTGTATCGAGATGGAATCACTGTATCAAAAGATGTCGTCTTTTCCGAACTGAGTTTGTCAAATAGAAATAACATCTTGATACAATGTACAACCGAAGGAAGCCAACCAATCGTGAAACCAAAAGTACTCACAGACTACAAGTCACTGACTTTGAAAAATGTTGTTCTTGACTTGACCGGTGTTACTGCTAATATAGCATTGGCGTCGCTCACTCTTGTGAACTCAGTTGTGAAATATCCAACTCTTGAAACAAACAATGTGGTAAACATTGGGACCTTATCGATGGACTCTAAAAGTAAGGTAGAGGTGCCAACCGGATATAAACTTGTTGTTGAGACAGCAAACTTCGATATGTCTACACTCGAAGGTGATAACAATGGTCCACTGATCAACACGGATTCATTTGCATCGTTTGTAGTTAATGGAATCGTTTCTGTTCAAGACCCTCCAACAGCAACACATTATATGGTCATTGCAATAAGCACATCAGCACAAGTGTATCAAGGCTCTCTGCCAACACAAATCAAAAACAAGTGCTCACAAAGAGCACTAGTGTATAACTCAGACGTTCAGTCATTCAATTGTTCGTCTCTTACACA